GATTATCATTATTGTTATCATTATTATTATCCTCTTTATTAATTATCAATATTAGTAGTAGTAGAAAAAGTAGTATTGCTGTTGCTGTTATCATTAATAGTATAATCATTATTATTAGCACCATCACTATCATTGCTATGGATAACATTCATTATCATTATTATAATAATGATGATATTGATGATGATTATTATTACCAATATCACCATTATCATAAATATCATTATCATTATGATTGTCATTACTATCATCATTATTATTTTCATTATCGTCTTTGTTGCTAATATTGTCATCATCATCATCTTTATCACTACCATTATTAGAGAAGACGGAAAGAAACTTCTCGCCATTTGGTAATCAATGTGAGTCCCTCCTTGGCGCCGGGGTACTATTACTCCTCATAGCGGCTCCAGCAATCGAGAAGTACGACTGACACAGACAAATAAAAATAAACTGAGAATTACATTCATATTATTACTACCATTGTCATTGTGGTTATTGTTATTATTATAACTGCTATTGCCATTATCATTATTATTGTTATCATTATTATTCCTGTTATTCTCTTATTGTCATTATCATTCCTGTTATTGCTGTTGTTATTATTATCGTTGTTACTTCTATTATTATCGTAAATACTGCTATGGTCGAGACGATATTTCAAAACAAAGCTTTGGAAGGGGACATAAAAAAACATAAAAGTAGGTGTTTAGCAAGTCAGGAACTGCTGCAATATTTATTCTTCTCAGAAGGAATCCTCACATATGCTTCATGATTTACAAACACCAAACTTTACAGTACAGAAAATGTTGATTAGCTGTCAGGATCCCAAGGTTCTATCTTCATGGCTGGGTCGCCCATGACACCAAGTGCTTCGGGGTGCTGCCGACTGTTGTAATCTGCTGAGCCTGAATATGCATAGACGACACTAGGTGATCGAGAAGTCTGACCCTCATTGGCTATGTCATCTATGAGTTGCAATACTTTAATCTTAAATCGTCTTTTCTGTGACGCACTGAAGCCTGCCACGTCTGGTAGAATACTTTTGAAAAACTGTAAATCGGGATTTCCTGATTCTTCACCAGATTTTTTGGAGATAAAATCGACTACCGCTCTTTCCAAAGGATCATCTTCAGATCTTTTTCTTCCTCTTCTGGCTGAGGTAGCAAGGGTTGGAGGTGACGGACCATTTTCGGTTGTCCTTAGAGCTTCAGGAACTTCTTTTGATGTTTCACAAGCAATATCACTTTCATGGTCAGCACTGTCGTCCTCCACGTCAGCAGGATCTTCATTGTCATCTTCAGGATTAGGAGGAGGCAAAGTTCCCGTCTGATTCCTAGATTTCAGGAATGGGAGTACGAACTGCATCGCATCCCACAAGTAAAACTGTTTGATCGATTTCGGACCTTGTCTCTTCTTGATGTATCTTGTGAGCCCGCCTCTCAGGTACTTCCACCTTAATTTGCATTCTGCACCTGAAAAGAGGAATTATTCGTATTATCAACCTATACTATTTTCCTTGCTGGTTTTGCAGTCTTATTTGCATCTTACCTTATTTTTTCTGTGTGGTTAAGGAAACAGTTTGCCGTTTGCCTGGTGCCAGCAACTTAGAATATGAACCAAAATAAATTGAACTAACTACAACTGTACAATGTGCTGGGCATCTGTTCCCTCGTTATCACTCGAATGGTTACTATATTATCTATTTACCTATTAATTAATCAATCTAGTCACTTCTCTATTCGTTTATTTGCGACTTGGCAACATGAATGTCATTCTCGGCATGACAATGGGAGTTCTATCGAAGGGTCTCAACAATAAGGATAATTTTATAGGGGATACTACCGAAAAAAAATTCAGTCAAAATAAACGTGGGATGCAAATCCAGAGATACTCTGAACTTTGGAAGATGCCTTACTGTTTGAAATCGCTGGACGGGAAGCACATAAGAATCAAATGTTTTGATTCATCTGCTTCTGCCAATTAACTACAAAAACTTCTTTCCAACTGTTTTGATGAAGTGCTGATGAAGATTTTTTTTTTTTTTTTTTACTTTTGCGACTAAGGACGGTGATGGCCGAGCACTACAAGCATTATTTTTTCTTATCAATACAGTAAACAAGCTACATGTTTCGGCGATTGTATTAGGCACAATAACTGTATCCTTTAATTGCTAGGGTTTTTTCTCCATATATATTGGAAAAATCAATACATCGATACATTTAGATGACCAATTGGAAATTGAATTTGATAATCATCAATTCCAATATCCAAATGAAATGGTATACGGTTCAAAATGTGTTTTTTTTTTCTTCATTGTTAAGCGGGCGACTAGGTTATCCATTTGATGATGAATACTAGACAAAACCAGAAAAATAAAGAAAATTAATGTTTTCAAATTGCGTAAAAGCTGCCATATAGTGAAAAAAATGCAGAAATTCATTGTATTTCCATTACATTATGCACAATACAATGCAAGATTGTTTGTATCAAAGCTAAATATATACGAATGCGGTACAGTTCGTAAACAATATCGTTCCTCACATCTGTCCCTGTTTGAAAGAGTCGCTGTGCCTTCCTGGCGAATTCTATGTCACTTTTCACACTCAAGCCTAGTTGGCCCAAGGCAACAGACAGACCAAGACACTGGGTCTAGCTCTCCACCACTAAGCCTCGGCACCCGGGAAGACGAGTGGGGTTTTGTCTACCTTCAGTTATAAACCCACAGTCCCCTTTCAGTCACCCGCGCGAAGACCCTTTTAATTCACGTCTGGTGGCAAGTGGTGGTCTTGCATTTACATCTGAGGGCACCGGTGTCCCCAAGCTCTTTCTTCACAGACTTTACGTCAGTGAATTGATAATTTATTAGTTTGTTGTTCGTCTATTCATTTATCTATTCTGTAATTTAGAGAAAGAAAGTGAAAGGGAAAGAGAGATGGTACCAATGACAAATTTGTTTGTGTTTCCTTATTCATTTGAGGATGCATCATGTCAGTCTGTATTGGAATGCGGATGAACGACTTAAGCTTATTCTTATTAACAAACTGCAGGATTAAGGTGTATAGAAAATCTAGATCAGGGAACCTCTGGCACGAGTGCTAGACTTCTGGCATGCAGAGTCACACCGGGAAGGAAAAAAGTTAAACCAAAATAACAGAGGAAGAGAGAGAGAATATGAATCGTATATTGTTATTTTGACAATGGTTTAAATTGTCGTATGTTTCTATTTTTTCCTATGATACATTGAAGGAAAACAGAAATGTTCGTACCCGCGACCAAGTTCGGGTGGGTACGGCGAGATGTAGACGACTATATGACACCCCAGTCGCTGGTGACGCCTCAGTCACGCAGCGCTGCTGTTTTATTGACAAGCCACCGTGAGTGACACTTTCTGGTTATCGTAGCGATGGCTAATGTGAAAAAGTAAAGCTTGATGTCCGATCACTTCAGCTATCAAGAACAAATGACTGGATTTGCCCACCTGAATAGTCATACTGTGTATGCGCGCAAAAAGAGTGTCATGTGCGCACACCAAGTGTTTGATTATGATTTCAATTCCTATGGTCTATATAGTGCTGTAAATAAAACATGGCACGCAAGATAGCATTAAAATCGCCTTACATATTGTGTAGAATTACCAGCCACTAGTTCTCAAATTATTATTAAAATATGTTCCCTTTACTCCAATCGCAAACATGCTATTTAGGAATTTATTTATTTCGGAAAGATATATATTCATAATGGAATATTTATCACATATCGAAAAAATGAAGATAATTGATATTTGTTCCCATATTTGCGTAAAAACCTTTAATTTGTACAGATATGCTCTCTCTCTCGCTCTCGCTCCCTGTCCCTCTCCCTCTCTCTCTCACTCTTGCTTTTTCCCTCCATCTTTCTCCCTTTTCCCTTTCTCACTCCCCTTTACCCCCTCTCTCTTTTCTTTCGCTCTTTTCCGCATACTCCCCTCTCTCTCCCCCTCCCCTCCCTCTCTCTCTGACGTCTCTCTCTCTCTCTTCTCTTCTCTCTCTCTCTCTCTCTCTCTCTCTCTCCTCTCCTCCTCTCTCTCTCTCTCTCTCTCTCTCTCTTTTCTCTCTATCTCTCTCTCTCTCTCTCTTTCTCTCACTTTCTCTCCTCTCTCTCTCTCTCTTTTCTCTCTCTCTCTCTTCTCTTCTCTCTCTCTCTCTCTCTCTCTCTCTCTCTCTCTCTCTCTCTCTCTCTCTCTCTCTCTCTCTCTCTCTCTCTCTCTCTCTCTCTCTCCCTCTCTCTCTCTCTCTCTCTCTCTCTCTCTCTCTCTCTCTCTCTCTCTCTCTCTCTTCTCTCTCTCTCTCTCTCTCTCGCCTCTCTCTCTCCTCTCTCCCCCCATCGGTCGCTCTCCCCTCTCTCCCCCCTCTCCTCTCTCTCTCCCCCCCCCTCTCTCTCTCTCTCTCTTCTCTCTCTCTCTCTCTCTCTCTCTCTCTCTCTCTCTTCTCATTCGTCCGTACTTGCCCCCCTCTCCTCCTTTCCCAATATATGTATGTCATTGTCATGATCTTTTTTTACAGTTGTCAACGAAGAATCGATGTATCGAAATCGCTTTAGCTAAGTTTCTAGTATCGATGTAGCGGCATCGCCGACAAATAGCCTAATATAATATTCAGACAGACAGACAGGCAGGCAGGAAGGGGGCCACAATACATACTAGTAGACATTTAACAAATCATTAAAATCCCTAAACTAACACAACACTGGTTATAAGATATTATATATACATCAAAGTCAGGGTACATACCTGTAGAGGAAAACGTCTCTGCTAGACAGTTCCATGCCTTGTCCTGCTCGTCCCGAGAGACGTACCGAGGTGATGTTGTGTCATATAAACAAGTGTATTTCTCCACGGCTTGTACGAATCTGATATTAAAAGGTTCGTTGTCTGGAAGAGGCATAGTTGTGCACGAAAGCACACACAAATTGTATAGCTTCCTCTCGCAAGACAGCGCGTTGTTAGCCACTCACTCCAAGCCTCACCCACTGGTCGACTGAGGCAGTGTTGCCAAATGTTTCTGGCGGAAATCTTTCTAGACACTTTAAAACTACTTTCTGTATGCCATGCATCAATAAGTTTCTTGTTTTGCTGATATTGTCACCTGAATTTAAAAAAAAAAATTATATTATCTTGGCCAATAATTACTCTGGATACAAAAGCTCTATTACAATTTGGCACCGCACACAGAGGTGGCAAGACCAATAGTGGTGTAGCACGAAGGTCGCACGTGGCGGACGCGACGTGTCACGCCACCACTATGTGAAAGGTTTCATGTACATCCAGATGTTCGTTTTCACATAGCATGCCACGTAGTATGCCGCATGCTACGTGCTACTTTGAAGTAAAAGCGGCCTAACTCGTGCAAGGTATGTCGACGCGGTGTATTAGAAACGAATAGCTTTCTCATCTATTTCCACTGTAGTGTATCAATACCGATATTCCATTCTTTAGCGTAAATAGACTGTCATCCAGTATATTTAGGCAAGAAAAATAAAACCTTGATATAACAAATATGTAAATATGTAGATAAACATTAACATACTGTATACAGCTATATATATTAATATATATAAATATATATATATATATATATATATAATATATATATATTTATATATATGTATATATATATATAATATATATATATTATATATATATTTAGTAGGAAGATGTACACACACACACACACACACACACACACACACACACACACACACACACACACACATATATATAATAATATATATATATATATATGTGTGTGTGTGTGTGTGTGTGTGTGTGTGTGTGTGTGTATATTTACATTTTATATATATATATATTTACATATATTATATATAATATATATATATATATATATATATGTGTGTGTGTGTGTGGTATGTGTATGTGTGTGTGTGTGTGTTGTGTGTGTGGTGTGTGTATGTGTATGTGTATGTGTATGTGTGTGTGTGTGTTTGTGTCTGTGCACACATATTTCAGTAATATAAGATAGATAAAGTTGATCCACACATACACACACAATAATAATGATAGTAATGCTAAAACTAATACTAATGATAATGGCAATTATTATAATTATTATAGTACAAATAATGATAATAAGGATACTGACTGTGATACTAATAATGATAATAATCATCATCAGAAGAAATAAAAAGCGCGCTTAAAGGCATGGAGAAAGGGAAAGCACCAGGTGAAGACGGAATTAGTATAGACCTTATGATAGATGCAGGAGAAATTGCAACAGTGAAACTAGCCAGTCTTTTTAACAAATTCCTTCTCAACGGAAAAACTCTGAAAGCCTGGAAAATGCAACAATTATTTTGATACATAAAAAGGGAATAAATTAGATCTAAAAAACTACTGACCCATAAGCCTCCGAATATTGGAAACCCTGCGTATGGCATTCATCGATTATAAAAAGGCATTCGTCTCTGTATAAATACCAGCAGTATTAGGTGCTATTAATAATATATATTATATATATATATATATATATATATAATATATATATATATATATTTATATATTATTATTAATACAGTATTATTGGAAATGCAACCACACCTAATTTTAAAATCTGTTTACCATGTGGTAGGACATCATTTATGATGCTTTTCTTCTATACCATTTTCTGCGCAAATTGATATAACGGTTACAGGGGATATAAAATCCAATCTTACCTTCAGCGCCGCGACAAATGACAAAAAGTCGTTAAGAGCGACGGGAAATCGGACGGATTTGTAGAGGATGACGTATACGAGGGAATCAAATGAGCCAATTAGATTCGTGCGTAAACGTGACGTGAATATAGACATTCAAAAGACCCCAATCGATTTCGATTTTCGATTTCACCGCAAAATATCAACAACAACAAAAACGAAAATCACAGTGTAGTGCCCGCACTGTAAAACATCATGTCATTACAGAAAAGATAGACACCAGTAGGTTTGTGGTGCATGAATAAGGTCCTAAAAACAAAACGAACAAAGCAGTATAACTTTACTATAAGCGATCGCAATTCCTGCCAACAATGACCCGGAATAACCCGACGATCTCAGTGATGCGTCAGGTAGGATGGGGTTAAAACTGTCTCTGGGTCTGGGCTCTCTCCTGCCGGATCATACGAGACCTAGCGGGGTTGGGGGGGGGGGCGGCAGCTCCCACCCTACCCCCCGGAAATGTGTTAATATCAAAGACTAAATACGAAAGACAGGAAACATCCTATCTAACGCATTCTAAAAAATGTGAGCTCCCCGGTCGTCCACCAGCGCCATCTGTTGACTCGACGCCCAACTAAACGTCCGACGTCGTTCAGTGGGGGTGTTCACTCGGGCACATGTTCTTGGTCAGTTCAGACTTATTCAGAGGGGGTTGTTAATAATTTATATATATATATATATATATATATATATATATATATATATATATATATATATATATCAATATCGTTTCATGACTTTATAGTAGCATTTATTTTCTTCATATAATTCTTTCGCCCCTCCCAGCCCGAAACTACCCATTCGGTATTTTAGGGCTGGATAACAACTGTAAATTGGTAGTTCACACATGCACGGCATAGATACGTCGTATACAACATGCCTTATACAGGACACATTAAACCACGTGGCACAACTTATCGGCCTACAGTCACAAAACATTAGAGGCATATAATGTATATGGATATATTGCCAAACATGCATCAATACATAGAAATTGAGTATAATAAATTAAAGAAAAATTATTACAATATCTTTATTAGAATAATAATAAAACCTTTACAAATAAATATCCGAAATACACAATTTTATTTCAATTCTTCACATTGCGACCGCATGACTTTGAGATTAATTTCCTCATTAAAAGGTTGTTATGTTTGATTAGGGGACTGCCCCCTAACACCCCTTTCTAGGAGCTGCCTGGAATGCATCTGCTACACCTTGAATACTCTGGGTAGAAGCTCGAAACAGTCCACCGTCGTTGTCCTGTTAACATTTGAACTTATTTTATTTTTTCGAAACAGTCCACCCTCGTTGTCTGTTAACATTTGAACTTATTTTATTTTTTTCTATGTTTCTGTTCCTACTATGCAGATCTACCAATTAATGATCATTGTTCAATCAATATATGTTGATTTGGGTGATAACTATAATCTAACTCAAAATCAACCTGACACAATTTTTTTACTTTATTGATGTCAAATCTATCGCCAGCTTACGTCAAATTGTAGATTAAGGCTTGCACTATGATATTAAGTAGATTTTTGACTTTTCACCTTTATCAATCAAAATAACTTCTTGTGATCCAATTTATATCTTGCTTATGTCTATCAGAACATCACACATCTTAGGTTATATCTAAAAAAGCATAAATATTACAAACCTTTCTTTTTCCTTGGGAAAAAAGTATGAAGTATAAGTTGTTTATTCTCTTCTTTTTGCTGTTTACAAGCAGAACAAGGATAACTTTCCTGACAAAGTCGAACTGCCATTCCAATTTTCGCGCTTCTATGTAAACAAACAGACAGTATGAGATGACGTTACAAGATGCTCACTAACGCCATCTCTTGCGCCGACGCCGCATTACTCACAGGATTTTGCTCGACTTTCCGGTCTTTCGTAGATAGTCTTTGGTTAATATACTATGCTTACTAGTATTCTACCGATATTTCTCGAAATTCCCTGATATGTAGGGCTATCATGCTCTTCCCAGCTATCGAGACCGATATCGTAATTATGCTTCGTTTGCGAAGAAAAAGGGAGTGTAAGGGGGCGAAGCCCCCTATATTTACTGAAAACGTGTCAGATACCTGGTTTGCCCGGGCTCTATCCTGCATACATACGAGGTGATGTAGACCAGGCGGGGGGGGGGCTAGATGCCCTGAAAGAGGGTTTAAGGGGGCGGAGCCCCAATACAATCCTGAAATGTGTGAATATACTATGCTTGCCCGGATTCACTAACGCACTTACGATGGTAAAATCACTGGTAACTATAGTTAGCATGGTAAACAGACAGCGGTGGTATTCAGTAACAACTTGCCATTGGAGTTACCATGGTAAATTTTACCAGTGGTCAGAGCACTGGTGACTTCTGGGAAGACGATGTCATCACGTGTTATCTCGTCAAAAAATCAATATTTGTGCAAAGTTTTGGGTTTGTTTTTACACGTGATTTAACTAATATGATGGCAAACAGATATCACAATATGGACATAGTGAAGAAATGCAAATTTCACATGAAACTAGCAAGAATAAAATCCACACAAATTCTCGTAAACTTATAGGCCTACATTATACTAGAATGCATGGAACCGATAAATACGTGAACTTGAACAAAAAAATCTCTGACATAATTATTACAAATGCTATAGAAAAAACTACCTTGCTGATACATAATAAACTGTCAATGAGGAAAAATATATAAATGAAAAGCTGTTTGGACTGTCTCTTTGGTTTGAGTTAACAATAATATATTAATATAACAGTGTTTGTATTGGTTCCTATCTATACAGTAAATATATATACAACATGATGGATATAATCAAATAAATATATTATTTTTTCTACATGTGCTTAGATGATGTTTTAGCTCTGACGATTATTTAAACAATCTCGCTGTCTAATTCTGTTTACATGTTACGTGATTGGCCGAAGGAACCTAAAAGATTATGTATAGCGCTCGCTGATTGGTGGAATTACCAGGCGTTACCAGAGCCCTCTGTTGGCTACCATTAGAATGAGTCGATTTACGATTGTAACTCAGCATATCGAAATTACCATTTCTTCGTGAATCCCGCTTTGCCATGACTGGTAAACGCAATGGTATATGACCGCTGGTAAATGCGTTACGATCGTATGTTAGTGAATCCGGCCCCTGAAATGTGTGAATATACTATGCTTGCTAGTATTCTACGATATTTCTCTAAATTCCCAGAAATGTAGGCCTATCATAACCTTCCAGCTATCGGGACCG